AGTACAGTACAATGCAGTACAGTGCAACACAGCACAGTACAGTTCAGTACAACACAGTACAGTACAATGCAGTACAGTACAACATATACAAATACAGCATTTTATAACATAGCATAGTATAACATAGTATAGTGTGTATAGTATAACATAGTATAGTATAATGTATAGGTATAATGTAGCATAGGAACATGAAGAAAATAAAATGAAAAGTAGCATAATGTAGTATAGTATAATGTAGTACAGTAACACAGTATAGTATAATGTAAAGAGTAAATATTAGCATAGTATAATGTAGTATAGTATAATGTAGTACAGTAACACAGACAGTACAACATAGTATAGTATGCTAATGTAGTATAGTATAATGCAGCATAGTATAACAGCAGTACAGTAGCCAACACAGTACAGTACAATGCAGTACAACACAGCACAGTACAATGCAGTACAGTACACACAGCACAGCACACGCAGTACAGTATCACGCTGTGCACAGCACAGCAATGTAGACAAAACAGCAGTACAATGTAGTATATAAAACAGTATAGTACAATGCAGTACAGTACAAAACAGTACAGTACAATGCAGTACAGTACAACACAGTACAGTACAATGCAGTACAGTACAACACAGTACAGTACAGTACAACATAGTACAGTACAATGCAGTACAGTACAATGCAGTACAGTACAACACAGTACAGTACAATACAGTAAAGTACAACATAGTACCGTACAATACAGTACAGTACAATGGAGTACAGTACAGTACAGTACAACACAGTAAAGTACAACACAGTACAGTACAACACAATACAGTACAGTACAGTACAGTACAATACAGTACAGTACAACACAGTACAGTACAACACAGCACATTACAACACAGTACAGTACAACCAAAGTTGTGGCACAAGTTGACCCGCAACTTGTGCCACAACTTATTTGGTTGCGGGTGCAGTTGCGCCGCACATTTTTCTAGAGAGTTGCGGAACTGGTTGCGGCACAACTTTTGAAAGCATTTTCTAGCACAACGCGCAAATTTTTGGGGCAATAATTGAAAATTGGAATACGCCTGCATAAACAAACGGGCATACAGTGAGTTCTGCTATAACGCGTGTTTTGATAACGCGAATTTGCTCTAACGCGATTTATGAATTAGGAACGATATTTGTATAACACGAACGCTTGTTTGCTATAACGCGATTTTTGCTTACTATTTCTCAAATTTTGTGGTATAGTGGGGTATGCTATAACGAATCTAACTGGTTCTATAGAACCTTGTTTGTTATAGCATTCATTCGTTTTAGGATTAATCCGTTCCAGGCCCCCAAATACAACCACTTAGCACTGAAAAATATAATATAAAATTGTAAAAAAGTGCATAAATATGCATCTAAACCCCTGAAATAAAGAATATCATTAATATTTGTAATAAAAAAACAATAAATTAGAAAAAAAAAAAAAAATTTAAATAATGTTCGTTGTAGGAGTTTCGTTCGTTATAGCATTCTCAATTTTATAGGTAAAACCGTTCGTTATAGGAATATTCGTAGTAGAATCCGTTCGTTATAGCATACCCCACTGTATTAACTGTGAATATAGTAAAGAAGAATATCAACAAGAAGCGTTCTGGTGATAGAATTCCTGGTGATGATCATAAAAGAAAGGATATAACACTTGAAGAGAAGCTCGATTTTATCAACCTCAAAATCACCCTTCTCCCCATCAAGTAAAGTGTTACATTTACTGTATGATTTCATTATTAGATATGAATGTAACATTTATTTAGACTGTGCTATCCTTTGTGTTAGGCTAACTACTAAATTTTTTCGATTTCGAGTAATCTGCACCTAACCCTATTTTCTCCATAAGCCCTGTTATTTCTATTACGCGATTTTCTATAACACGATATTTTACAAGAACACAATTATCGCGTTATAGCAGAACTACCTGTACCTAGAGCCAAGCATTACGAAAATTTATGTTTCTGGCGGAATGATTCAGCACATACATGATACAGGTCAGGCAGCATATTTCTGAACTGTAAACCAGATGAAACCCTCGCAGCCCCCCCCCCCTCCGTCGTCCCCTCACTCCCCTTCCCTCGCTGTAGTTGCCAGATTTCATCTTTCACATAAACTCTAGAAACTAGAGTTAATGTGAAAGATGAAATCTGACAACTACAGTGAGGGAAGGGGAGGGAGGAATGATTCATATCATAACCAGTCAGGCAGTCAGTAGCACTGCAGTTAAGGCGTCAGTTTCTTGTTATTACTAGTATTATGGATCGTTTTGTGACGAGGAGTCTGTGGCCGGCAGCAGTGATCCTGCCGACCAGTACATGAACACGGAAGTTGAAGTGACTGAGACTGTTGACAGCCAGTCCACTGAGACTGAGGCCAGTGGCAGTGAGCCATTTTTTTTTAAATTTTGTAATAAAATACAGTGCTCCCTCAGTTAACAAACACAATTCGTTCCACAGTCGTTCGTTAACTTAAAATTTTGTTAACCGAACCTATTATTTCAATGGGATATTGGGTAATTGGTTCCAACTTACAGAAAATATACATACAAAGTACTGTATACCGGAAATAGAATTAACAAAGCATTAAATATAAACTAAATACAGTACTGTACTGTACAGTATACTGTACAATAATAAATAAAAAAACAATAGAATACTGTATTTTAACTTACTTTGAGGTGTGTATGTCGTATTACTGGCAGCTTTGTTTACATATCAAACAGCTGATTGTAGAGGCAGTCGATGATGACATGCCATATTCTTTACAGAGTGCATTGGTTCTAATGCCTTCTTCATGTTTCATAATTTCCGCACTGTATATTATCAATATGTTAACTATATTTTAGAATGACCAATAATTTTAATATAAAAACTGCAGAAATATTCAAGAGACCAACTTTCTTGATATTTATTTAACTAGAAACGAATGTAAACATAGAACCAATTACTGCATTGGCGGACTAGCCGATCAGCTGATGAGCACACCAAAACGTGTTTGTCATAAGGATTTCGTTAATCAAAGTTTTGTTCGTTAATCGAACTGAAAATCCTTATGGGAGGTAATTCGTTAACCGAAATTTCGTCAATCGAACCATTCGTTAACCGAGGGACCACTGTATAAATAAACTAAATAATTTTGTATTGTAGTCACCGATGGGTAGAGGTAGTGGAGCGAGTGTGTGGTGGGTAGTGGAGCGAGAGAGGAGTCACTGAGACCCGGCGGGTGTAAGGGCGGTAACGAGCGGGATGGGAGCGGATACCAGAGGCTTTTGTAGGAGTTGTGATCGGTGCCGGCGTATGTCCACCAAGGGTAGAGTCCGTCCTGTTCCTTTTAAGCCTTTACCCCTCATTACAGAGCCATCTTCTCGGGTCGCCCCAGATTTTGTTGGACCGCTCTCACCCCCTTCCTCTAAGAAGCCTAAATTATATCCAGCTAATTTGTTAAAGAAATATCATTGCATGGCCTACATTAACTTTGCTCGTGTCCTTGACGTCGTTCCCAAGCTGGAGTCAGCCGAGGCACTACCCTGCGAGAGTTCGTGTGAAGTTCAGGCGCCAGACTCGGATGATCTCGGTTGCCAGTTACCGATAACACCGGACGGGAAAGAAGAATCCTCTACGACTGGAAATAGGCCCAAACTTAAGCCTGGACAGAAGTGGATCCCACCTGCAGTTCCTTGATACAGCCTTACGATATTTGGATATCATGTTACCACTATTTTAATGTGACCATTCTCGATTCTTTATTTTGCTCTGTATATTTTACCATTTGTTGTAGGATTGTTATATGTTTTGTTGTACTAATCTTAAGTTTTAATCTACCTTACAATAGATTTTTGTTGGGGAGCTGTGTAAGGGCAGTAACGAGCAGGACGGTTGTCCGCCGCTTGTTTGCGGCCCCACTAAGGGGTAGATGGAGGTGAGAAGGTCGCTGCTGCCTCGTTGCACACCAGACACTACCCAGTCGTCACCACAGCTGTACTCGCACCCCGCTGTTCGATCCAACTCTGGTTGTGTACTCATCTGAGGCTCCTGGGGCTCATGGGTTGATTCCCCAGTCCTTCAATATTCGGCTGCCAATCTCCAGACACCTACTCCAGTTACTACCACGGCTGCCACGTCATCACCACTTCCTCCACGCCCTATCCACCGTCCGTGACCTGGCGTCTCTCCTGTGTGGCAAGACATCGCCCACCAACGCTGGCACCAAGTGAGGAAGCTGCCCTGGACCTTCCCCCTGAGAGCAGATCACCGAGTTACCAGAACATTCCACCGGGCTGGTTAGGGTATTTATCTGCAGCCGTAGAAAATATCGGTACTTTGTTTGACTCCCATAATTGTTTGACTCCCAGAATTGTTTATTTCATATTTGTGTCAGTAGTGTCAATTATTGTGATTATTTTCATAGTAAAGAAATGTCAATCTCTAACGGTTGTTTATTACCCCTTGGAAACCTATGGTTCTTGACTTTCCTTTTATAAGATCCTGATTAGGCTGGCAAGGGATTTATATCCCAAAGTCCAGGCCTTTACAGCGGGTGGCTCCTCCTCCCAGTTTAAAACTTCCATTTTTGTAGCAAGGCTAATGGTCTTACATTGCTTCTTCACTACACTAGCATCAGTAGCACTTGATGGGCACTTGGAAGCCATTTCAAATGGTTACAGTACAGTATTAAGAGCAAAAACACTTAGGCACGCAAGAACGCTGTGGAAGCTTAACAAAGACTGGGGACGCTGTGACACTCCGCGAGTGAGAGCGTAGCGCACCAAGAGGATAGAGGGTGATGAGCTGTAAAAAGTAGTCCGTGACAACACTAAAAACAACTTTATATCGAGTCGTCAGGACGTTAACCAAATCATTGGTATCTAAAGAGTAGCGACGTTATAACGAAACAATGTTATCAGGGGCAACGTTAAACAAGGACTTTCTATATTATTATTAAAATAAATATTGTATTTTATTTTTACATATATGCG